AGCCACCAGCGGCGCCCCGACCACTGCCCCCGGAGCCGCCCCACTCTGACCCAGTTCCCAGCTGGCTGCTAGCACGTGCAGGCTGGGATGCTGTGTGCGACCCGGCCTGCACGTGCAGGATATGATGCAGTGCGCCAGGGGCCTGGCCGTGAGGGCGGCTGAACTGAGCGGTTCCGGGTTCCGTCCTGGCTCCATCAGGAGCCACAATATTTTCTTTGAAAGCCTCATGCAGCTCGCAAACAGCAGGTTGGCCACCACTGGTCTAGGTCATCCCTGATAGATGTCTATCTAACCTGCCCTTAAATATCTCCAGAGTTGGAGATTCCACAACCTTCCTAGATAAATTATTCCAGTGTTTAACCACCCTGACAGTTCGGAAGTTTTTTCTAATGTCCAACCTAAACCTCCCTTGCTGCAGTTTAAGCCCATTGCTTCTTGTCCTGTCCTCAGAGGCCAAGGAGAAGAATTTTCCCCCTCCTCCTTGTGACACCCTTTTAGATACTTGAAAACTGCTATCGTGTCCCCTCTTAGTCTTCTCCTTTCCAAATTAAACAAGCCCAATTCTTTCGGTCTTCCTCCTAGCTCATGTTCTCTAGACCTTTCATCATTCTAGTTGCTCTTCTCTGGACCTTCTCCAATTTCTCCACATCTTTCTTGAAATGTGGTACCCAGAACTGGACACCATACTCCAATTGAGGCCTAATCAGAGTAGAACAGGAGAATGTCTTCTTCTGGTGTGTTGCTCACAACGCTCCTGTTAATGCCTCCCAGAATCATGTTTGCTGCTGCTTTTTTTTTTTCTTTTTTCGCAACAACATCACGCTGTTTGCTCATATTTACCTTATGGTCCACTATGACCCCCATATCCCTTTCTGCAGTACTCCTTTCTGGACAGTTGTTTCCCATTCTGCATGAGTGAAACTGATTGTTTGTTCCTAAGTGAAATACTTTGCATTTGTCCTTATTAAACTTCATCCTGTTTACCTCAGACCATTTCTTCAGTTTGTCCAGATCATTTTGAATTATGACCCTATCCTCCAAAGCAGTCACAACCCCTGCTACCTTTGTATAATCTGCAAGCTTAATAAGCATACTCTTTATGCCAATATCTAAATCGTTGATGAAAATATTGAACAGCACCAGCCCTAAAACAGACCCCTGCGGAACCACTTTTTATGCTTTTCCAGCAGGATTGTGAACCATTACTAACT